CTCCCTTTCGTAGCTCACAGCCGTGGGAGGACAAGGGGCTCTCACAGACCAACAGACAGCCCAAGGGTCTGAGGTTGTCATGTTTTCATGAAATCTGGGAGATGAGGAGGTGACAGCTCCAACTGCTGAGAAAAGAAAGTTCTTCAGGAGAATTAAGAATTTTTACAGGCCAGTTACCTCTTTTTAGAAAACCCATTTGTTCTATCATCTTTTCTGTCCCCTTCATAGACATAAGCAAAGGGAATAAAAGTTAAAAAGAGCTCAGGTAAGACAGGAAACATAGGAACCCAGCTGTCCCACATGCCAAGACTTGAGGCAACTGTACAATGATTAGTGGCTCCTCCCTCAATCAACAAGAACCCATCCACCCTCACACAGTCTCATGTTATGACAAACACGAACCTGTCTACCCTCACACAGTCTCTTAACAAACATGAACTCACACACCCTCACACAGTCTCATGTCAGGACAAAAATGACTCCCTCTGCACAGACAAGAACAGCAAACCCTTGTGTTTGAGAAGAGGTCATGACTCCTATGTTATAACACATGCACGATATGATGAATATAATCAAGCTGACCCAGTCATGCACGTAACTGCTCTTAAATTGGCAAATGTTTTGTTACACATCATTTTCACTCTAAATCAAACTGTAAGCCAGTTGAAGTGCAGATGGTTTACTTGCTAAATTGTCAGCAAACCCTTGGAAACAGAGACATACAAGACCACTAGAGGTTGCAGGGCAAAGTTCTCCCACATTTGCAGGCCCTTTAACTCACACAATGCTAACTACCTGAATCCACACCAATTTCCGGGTCTGTAAAAGTGACCTGTGTGAATTAGCACCCATCCACTGGCTTCCTCATAGAGCGAGGCGAGAAAAGGCTGTGCAGGTCCCTGCTGGGGGCTGCCACAGGACAGCCTGAGAGAAAGAAGGCTCTCCTCTGCTCAGGGACATGATGCAGCAAGCTACGTCCTCTCTCCTCTCTCATCAATCTTAGTATGATTGACTCACCACAAACTTTGAGCTACAGCTAAAAATCCAAAATGCTCCTCCACTGCAGTGCGCCAAATACATATTTTAAAGTCATCAAAAACACTGATGAACTTTGCATCATCTCATAATGTCAAAATGTTCCATGTTTTA